CCCTTGTGTCTTCTCGAACCATGCGAAGGCGCGTGGCTGAAGAGCTTTTGGGATCGTGGTGCCCATTACGTGTGCTTCCCTTGACGCCCACCCATCCAACGCCTCCGTTTGGAATGGTGCCGCGCACGAGAAAACTGGACTGCAGCGGAATGGAATCAGGTCCTCTTTAGCGACGAATCCAGATTCAATCTCAGTAGTGAAGGCAATCGTGTTCATGTGTGGAGACCCCGTGGTGAATACCTCAATCCTGCCTTTGCATTACAGCGACACACCGCTCCCACAGCTGGTGTGATGGTATGGGGTGCCATTGCCTACAATACACAGTCATCCCTAGTCATCCCTAATACGGCTCCCAGGAGCCATTTCTCAACAGAACAATGATCGGCTTCACCCGGCAAGGGTGTCACAAGACTGTCTCCGCACTGTTACTATCTTTCCTTGGCCTGCGCGATCCCCAGATTTGTCTCTAATTGAACATATCTGGGATCATTTGGGACCGCGAGTTGGGCATCCCATGAATTTGAACGAATTATAGGCAAAGTTACAGCAAATATTGAACGAAATGTTTTAAGACATCATACAGAGCTTGTATGCCTCAATGCCCGATCGAATCGCATCGTGCATTAGCGCTAGAGGGGGTTCAACAGGGTATTAAATCCTTCGTTCTTTTGCCTTTTTCACTGAAATAAATTATCCTTTTTCTTTGATTTTCTAATCATTTACTTATATCAAAGTATTCATTACGTATGTAAAATTTCGTTTCATTTTGACGACTCCTTCTTGGTGCACTACTATTTTTGTCCATAAGTGTATTATATCATCAACCAGTCTTGCCAAATCGAAATTGCATGCTACAATTTCAAAAGACGTCGTCAAATACTGTCGTCTTTGTATTCTGATTATTATTGTGTTTCATCATGCGTGAAGACTATTTTCCAATGTTGGTTGCATATCGAAGCGATATCTTTTGATTTTACGAAGTTTTTTGAAGGTATAATACATAAGTACACTCTGTCTCTAAAAACAAGCAACAAATAGAAAAATGCTAATAAAAGGAAAACAATTTATTGAAAGCGTATAAAATTTTCACAAGTTGTTGAACAGAAGAGGCGACACCTCGCAATATAAAGGAGGAAAAACACAATTAGTTTTTGAATAAGCAGTGTAAACCATAATGCCCTTAACTTGTGTGGAAAAATGTTTAGTTACAAACCTTTATCAGCGAGGCATATGACCACCTCTATTGTAGATGCAGGCTCGACAGTAATGATTCATACCTATAAGTCGGTTGCCAATTGCATTTTGCTCAAAGAAACATGTTGTCAAATCATTAATGTCTTAGGGAGGATTGCACAGAACAGAAAGACATCTCCTAAGCATATCCCAAAGATGCTCTATTGGATTCAAGTTGGGGGTGAATGTGCTGGCCTTTTCACATTCCATGGATTGTTTGACAACGCGGGCTCCATATACTGTTGTGTTATCATCTATAAACATAATATCAAGCTCCTAGATTACTAGATATGGACCAACATATGGGTTGAGAATTACATCTCGATACATAACGACTGTCGCTGAACCGGGGCGAAGCACTAGGAGATCGGTTTGACCAACGACTGATATTCTTACCCAAACCGTGACACTAGCATGACTGTAGCTGTATCTTTCAAGGATATTGTGAGCTTTAGATAGATTTTCTGGGGTTCAGCTACATATCCGTCGAGAATCATCGCTTATACAGAATCGGGTCTCATCGGTGAACAATACATTGGTCCACAGCTGTGGTGTCTAATGGATGTGATCCAGAGTCCAATGCAACCTAGCTCTTCTGAGAGAGGATATCAATGGCACCGAAACTGATGGTCGTCTGGAAGACAGATGACATTCCAGCAGCCATCTGCAAACAGATTGTCGGGATAATCCTAATCCGGATGACGTCACAATGCTCTAAGTAAGTTGACGGATTGAACTCGTCCGATAGCACCGAGCTAGCAGACACAGATAACGGACCTCGCGAGCAGTTGTAACCCTACGACGCCCACTACCAGGTCTTCGTGACTCTATGTGCTCCTTTTGATGGCAATTCCACATCGGCTGGTGAGCAAATGGTTGACATTAAAAGCTTATACAATCTGCGACCGCCATTGCCCAGAATGAACCCTTCCGAAATTAATGAAATGAGTGCCATACAAACGTAACTTCCAACGCAACGAAAGTAAAAGCTACTGCTCAAATGAACCTATTCTCATACACAGTCGGACCTCCATTTTACGAATTCCTCTATTTTATGAACTTTTTCTGAAACCAAGAACATTTTATGGTTGTCTTCGTAAAATATCCTCCAAATAGTGAAATGCATTTTCTATTTAACGAACTTTTTCTCTTATGATTCAATTTTTTTCCCACCCTATTTTTAAAACATTTCTGGGCCTTCGTATGATGTAATGGTAAAATCATGTGAAACAATTCAACGTGGATTACAGTGTGGGAAAAATACGCAAGAACGGGTTTTGAGTGTATTACAAAGCTATGAGGTGCGTTACAAGAGATAAAACCTTTTGTTCAAACAACCATACCAGTAAATTTAAGAATGCATGTAATAAATGCATAAACTTACTCATTATAAAAAATAATTGCTTAAAATATCTTTAGTTTTAAGCATAGAAAATATCATTAGAATTCATCAATTTTAATTTAAAGTTATTTTTTAAAGTTAAAAATGCAAAGTATTTCTGCAGACACACAAACACACGATGTTTATTTTTTCCTTGTAAATTTCTTTTTGGTGGATAAAATATATAAAACAAGTAACATAAAAAAAAAATTAAGTCAATTCCTACTTAGGTCAACAAAGATAATTTTATTTTAGTTACTTTTTATGTGTGTGTGTGAAATATAGTTACAATAAAAATAAATATATATACATATGACAAAATCACAATATTAAGTGAAAAAATAGAAGCGATTTTCCTTGTAATTTTCCATTTTCTTTTTCAATAAATGGCGTTGGACTATTTTTTTTTTGTTTATTACTATTTATTCATTAATTAAATTTAATTTTTCTGATAAAATAGTATAGGAAAAAAAGAAATCACATTTTTGAAAACTATGCCATTCCTCGTGAGATTTAAACCCACGACCTTTGGATTAGAAATCCAACGCGCTTTCGATCGCGCTACATGGACACAACTAACGTTTTCCCTTTCTATATATGCTGTTGGACTATTATTTGTGTTTATTCCTATTTATTCATTTTTAATTTAATGAATGAATTAATATTTTAAAAAACTGTATTAACATCAAGTGTCATCTACTACAAGTTTAAAAAAATGTATTTGAACTTGAATGGATGAATAAAAAGTATTTTATTATCGATTGAAAATTTCAATAAGATATTATATATATATATATATATATATGTATATTTCTTCCTGCTTTAGCACTGTAGGTTCTAGTACTTCTTCACTTTTAATTAATATTACTATATATATATAGGCAAATTCTCTACAAACAAGAGATAACATTCGAAAAACACATAGACAGTAGGAAAATCGCACAATGAAAGACATATGAGTAATCGAGATTAAAAATTATAAAATGGATATGCTGCAGTGTTATAAACATTACTGACTTAGGACAGCTAATATATAAAATAATTTATATAAAAGTGGGGTTGAACATGTTTTTTGGCCAGCCAACCTTCCCCCTTTTATGTAAATAACACTGAGCAAAAACCAATATAAAATAATGGATAGGAATATCTAAATCCATTACAAGATAGAAGTAACTTCCCTAAAAATTGCACTTACAAATGCAAAGCACGCGCTAAATCTGAGTGCAATAAATAAGTTATTGCCAGATTCCGGATATATATATATATATATATAGGGAGAGAGTGAACTAATAGTAGGAATTTAATAAATAGACATTAATTTACAAATAAGTAATATGAAAAAAAAATTAAGTCAATTCCTACTTTGAATGGATGAATAGAAAGTATTTTATTTATGATTGAAAATTTGAATAAGATATATATATATATAAGGAAAGAGTGGAGAGTGAACTAATAGTTGGAATTGAAAAAAGAGTATGATTTGTCTGCATTGTTGTAACAATGCACACCCGATTGGCTGAAAAACAGGTTTTCGACGCCAACTTTTGTCCTTGTTTTAACAGTTACAGTATTACAACAATAGAGACAAATCTAAGTTGGCGTCAAAAACCGGTAACTAATTTAATTAAATTTAATTAATTATTAATAATTTAAAAAACTGCATTAACATCAAGTGTCATCCACTACAAGTTTAAAAAAAATTCCTTTGAACTTGGTTGGATGAACAGAAAGTATTTTATTAACGATTGAAATTTTGAACAAGATAAATATTTAAATGTATAAATAAATAGAGAGAGACAGTGAGCTAATAGTAGGAATTAAAAAAGGTTGGAATGAATACTCTTTTTTTAGTATTAAATAGTGTTTATTAAATTTAAAAATTTTATGTCGTTCATGAAGGTATACTAAGAGATGAATCTCTATTTACTGAACTTTCCACATAACGAACTTTTTTTCGAGATTAAGCGACTTCATTAAATGGAGGTCCGATTGTATGTCGCATTACACAGCTTTATGTAAGGGTTATTCAAATATCTCTTACTGTGGTACTTCTTTCGCATTTCACTGCAAGGAACATATGCAAATTTTGTTACTGTAACTTTTTTTTATTCGAACTATTCTAATGTTACTGGTTTTTGCTTAAATCCTTATACTTTAAGGTATCCGACTACGTTCGGAACGATGATTTTGCAAAAGAGCATAAATGGATAATTTTCATGATATTTAGTGTCACTTAGATTAGAATACATGTATACAATTGTTTTAAGGGTATTTTGACAAAAAAATATTTAAATTCAATATTTTGGCAAAAAATTAACTTAGAACAATTTTTTTTTTCAAAATGTTCTCCTTTTGTGAAAAATGCTTCTATTATAATAATATTTTGCCTGTATATAGCTCAGACCTCTGTACAGAGGCTCAACCAGAATTTTTGAAATTTATAACTTAGAAGTGGGTTTATGCATATTTTACGACAACAAAGTTGAGCAATTTTAAGAAAAAAACGCCGATAATTTTTTCAATGGGTTGTAACTCTAAAAATAATATGAATTTTTCAAAAATCATAGTTGAGCCTCTGTAAAGAAGTCTGAGCTATATACAGGTAAAATATTATTATAATAGAAGCATTTTTAACAAAAGGAGAGCATTTGAAAAAAGATTATTCTCAGTTAATTTTTTGCCAAAATATTGTATTTAAATAATCTTTTTTGTCAAAATATCCTTAAAACAATTTTATACATGTAGTCTAATCTAAGTGACACTATATATCATGAAAATTATCCATTTATGCGCTTTTTTAAAATCCCGGTTCCAAATATAGTCGGATACCTTAAGACAGAGAGTACCTAGAAATTCTCTAAAACACAGTTTTATTAGCCACTAAGAGTTTATTGTTCTACCTATAAATAAATTGCATCTATAACCACTGTTTAAATGTCTGCCTTCACCAACAATATAAACTTAACTTTCAAAAATATATTACACACAGTGATGTATTTCTCATACATTGAGTAAAAGTAAAACTGAAAAAAAATTTTAAGTAATTCTACACATTCAGCAAACTACTCAATCGTTTGTTATAGTAATTTATATGTAATAAGATATCCAAGAAACAACAGAAACATAATCAAACTAAGAATTTTATGACGGCTGTGAAGCTGCCTTGCTTAACTCAAGGATTGCTGATTCATCATTTCTCATTCTTGGCATATTTCTGGGTCAAACTGTGTTTCAATTAAAATTTTTGTACAAGGTTTGGTACTTGACGAAGAACTTTGTACATAACGAAAACCATTTGCTGAGATCACCAGAATAGAAGTTTTAAAATGAAAACGTTATCATATATAAGAATAAATCCTACGCATGATCAGGGAAAAAAAAGAACATAATATACATACACACACACATACCCATATATATATATATATATATAATTTAACCCAAAACCGTTATTTGCAAACTTTTTATAAAACATTTTACAATATTCTTGTGTGGTTACATGAACACTAATTATTGATTTTAGTTTCATTTAACCACATATCATTTATTTTATGTTTTATTTTTCTATGTGTTTGTAAAGTTTATCAATTTTTTTCCTACGTATCAAAAAATCACACATACTTGAAATTACTTACAGATTAG